ACTGCTTCTGCCTGAAGGGGCGGCTTCCAGGCAACTTCTGGGGCCGCCCTGATGTCCTGGAAACCTCTGTGGGGCTGCACCGCAGGCACCGCAAATCCCAGATCAGGCCAATCAACATCAATAACATTGTTCTGCCAGAACTCATCGTTGCAGTCTTGTACCGCACTGACTGGAACAGAAACGATAACATCATCAAGTCCCACCACAGCCGGGCGAGCAGAAGCACCTGGAAGGGCATCATCAAGTTCAACAAAAAACTGTACCTGCCATTAGCCAACATTCAGACAACATGTGTGCATTATTTTCACACCAAAGGAAGAACGCATATTTGCTGTCGTCGCCGTTGCCTTGAGGATTAAACTCGCACCCGCTTCTGACGTGTTGAGGCAAGCTGCTCATGGAGAACTCGCTTTGCTGCTGCAACCTTCTGTGCTGCTTCTTCTTTGTTGTCATCACCTTCTGCAGCCCGTCTGGCCTCATTGAGGGCCTCTCCTGCAGCAGCCAGGTCCTGTTCGGCTTGTTCATCGAGCTCCATGTCATCGTCATCAGCACCAGCACGAACATTTTCGCCACTGCCAGCAGCGACCCCGGTCTGGCTCTGGGATGCCTTGATGGAGACGGCCTGGGCCTCCAGCATCTGCCGCAGGGTGCCCAGGTGCTTGCCTCCATCTTCGTCGGCACGGAGCTTGCCGAACCAGTCCTTGAACTCTTGACTGGCTGGGGCGAACTGGGGCTCGCTCATCTTGAGGATCTGCTCTCCATCTTGTGCGAGGCCTTTGGCATAGGCTTCGCGGGCTTCTTGCTGGAGAACTTCGGCTTGCCTCTTGGCCTCATCCAAGGCCAACTTTGCGTCATCCAGCTGCTTGTCCAACGCCTCGTTGGCCTTCTCAACCTCCTGGCGCTTCTCATCCAGGTTGGCCTCGAGAGTGCCCACAGTCTCCTTCGCCTTGGTAAGGCGAGTGTTGACGGACATTTGCTGGACGTGCAGCGGTTTAGCTTCTTGAAGTGCTTTCTGCAGCCGCTCAACTTGCGCTTCCGCCAAGGTACGATCTTCATCATGGGTTGCGAAGCGGGCCGTTTTTTTGCCAGTGGGCCAGCCTCTCCTTGATGTCCTTGGTTTCTTTCCCATCCTCAACATCGCTGCGCCACGGAAGCTTCGCTTCACCTGCCTTGCCGCCTTTCTCGGTCGAGTCGAGCTTTTTGAGGATGGAGCCCAGCGCCTCCTGCAACTGCGGAGCACCTTGCGACCTCTTTCCTTTCGGCGGCTGCTGCTTCGAGCCACCTGCCACTTCTTTATCATGTGCCTTCTTGGCTGCTCTCGATACCCCAACGGGCGCAGGGCAGCCGCAAGCACACTTGATCCGAGACGCCCAGTTCCCTTTCCGATGGCACTTTGTGCAACTCCACAATGGCTTACGCGGCCCGAGGAGGACGTCCTTCGAACCTGCACCATTCGACATCGCACTGCCTGCACGAGAGAACTGAGGTGTGTGCTCCACCAGGAGCACAGCAATCGTGAAAAACCTCGTCTGGCCAGGCAAACGAGGGGCACTGTGGGGGTTCCTCCTCCTCCTCCTCCTCCTCCTCCTCCTCCTGCCTCCTCCTCCTCCTCCCTCCTCCTCCCTCCTCCTCCTCCTCCTCCTCCTCCTCCTCCTCCTCCTCCTCCTCCTGCCTCCTCCTCCCTCCTCCTCCTCCTCCTCCCGAGGTTCGCTTGCCTCGCCTCGCCCTGCCACAGAGGCTTGCGAAGCCCTGGCTTCCATACACACTGCTCTGGCGTGGCATATGGTGTGTGTAAGTCCACTGCTGTGCCGTAGATGGCGCTCACTTGCGACGCATCTGCGCAACCGGCTACTTTGGGTTGCGCCGACGTCATCGGAGGGAAGACGGGGGCGAATGGCAAAACGTGGACAAACAAGTACCACATGACAAGCTGGAACCAACAAAGCCGACTGCGCACCCTACCTAACTCAGAAAAACCATCGCCGAGCATTGTGAGATTTGACCTCACCTTCCGTTCCCGAGATCCAGGAAAAGACCCTCTCGATCGAGGGCGCCCACAAGCCACGAGCATCTGCCCAGCAACGCATGGTGAACATATTGGGGACTTGTTCTGCCCCGCCTGACCTGGAGACCCACTCTTGAATCGAAGCCGTCCGAGGCTATAAGAGGCTACCCCAGGCCACCAGATCGTCCGATGCCAGCCGAGGCTATACGATGCTATCTGTGGCTGTCCGAAGCCACCTGAGGGCAGAATGAGGCAGCAGTTGAATGGTCAGAGGTGGTATCCTCAGGTTCCTGAAAGACAGGACAGGTACACAGGATCCTCAAGTGCCCCGAGCAACCCCGAGTTCCTCCTCCTGCCTCGGAGCAGGGCGAGTTGAGACAACGGCAGCTCGAAATAGATGCCTGGACCCCTCCCAGGGTCTCGGTGCACCAGTGTTCCCATCTGCGCCCAACTGTGGCGACGAGGGGGCCCCCGAAGGCCGAACTCCAGTTGCCTCAACTGGACCTACTCTGGCAATCTTCGCCCCTGGCTCTCCTCCTCCTCTTCCTCCTCCTCCTCCTCCTCCTCTCCTCCTCCTCCTCCACTCTCCCTCCTCCTCTCCTCCTCCTCCTCCTCCTCCTCTTCCTCCTCCTCCTCCCTCCCTCCCTCCCTCCCTCCCTCCTCCCTCCCCCCTCCCTCCCTCCCTCCCCCTCCCTCCCTCCCTCCTCCTCCTCCTCCTCCTCCTCCTCCTCCTCCTCCTCCTCCTCCTCCTCCTTCAATCCATTCCTTCTCCTTGTAAATAACTGTTCCCTGTCGCACCCCGAGGCCAGGTTTGAGGGCGGGCCGAGAGTTTTGCTTCAGACTTCCTCACCATTTATGACCCTGCAGCTTAAAACTTGACAACAGGTTCACAGGTGGAGGGCGGGTGGTTTTCAAAATGTGGCTCTCGCCTCAGCGTCGCGCACATTCGTTTTCAACAGTTGCAAGAGTGTCACGGATTGACGGCGGATGGTTTTCAAAATGTGGCTCTCGCCCTGGCACCGCGCACATTCGTTGTCGAAATTTGCAAGAGTTTCACGGATGGAGGGCGGGTGGTTTTCAAAAGGTGGTTCTCGCCTCAGCGCCGCGCACGCTCGTTGTCAAAAGTTGCAAGAGCTTCACGGATTGAGGGCGGGTGGTTTTCAAAATGTGGCTCTCGCTTTAGCGCCACGCACATGCGATTACAAAAGTTGCAAGAGCTTCACGGATTGAGGGCGGGTGGTTTTCAAAATGTGGATCTCGCCTTAGCGCCACGTACATGCGTTTTCAAAAGTTGCAAGAGCTTCACGGATTGAGGGCGGGTGGTTTTCAAAATGTGGCTCTCGCCTTAGCGCCGCGCACATTCGATTACAAAAGTTGCAAGAGCTTCACGGATTGAGGGCGGGTGGTTTTCAAAATGTGGATCTCGCCTTAGCGCCACGTACATGCGTTTTCAAAAGTTGCAAGAGCTTCACGGATTGAGGGCGGGTGGTTTTCAAAATGTGGCTCTTGCCTTAGCGCCGCACGAGTTCCGCGGATTCCCATGATCGACGTACCAGAAAAAGGTGTTTTGGAAGGACTTACGATTATGAGGGCGCAGCAGTCATGATGATTCGCGGTGTTGAAGTCCCAAAAATGGCGTTCTGGCACGATTCTGGATCATCAAGACGCAACAGTCAGGTTTATCCGTGGCGTTGGAATAGGTACCGAGAACCATGTTTGGGCATGCTTCAGGGTCTTCAACCGGTTGTCTTCCAAAGAGGCAGGTCCCTGTGGAAATGAACCGCTGCAGGGGCTTTTGAAGAGGGAGCTTTGGGGGAGGGGTTATTCCAACATCGCTCGTGACTCTTGGGTTTACACTGGTCCTCCTCCTCACCCTCCTCCTCCTCCTCCTCCTCCTCCTCCTCCTCCTCCTCCTCCTCCTCCTCCTCCTCCTCCTACTCATCCCCCTCCCCCTCCTCCTCCTCCTCCTCCTCCTCCTCCTCCTCCTCCTCCTCCCCTCCCCCTCCTCCTCCTCATCCTTCTCCTCCTCCCCCTCCCCCTCCTCCTCCTCCTCCTCCTCCTCCTAATCCTCATCATCATCATCATCATCATCATCATCATCATCATCATCATCATCATCATCATCATCATCATCATCATCATCATGATCATCATCATCATCAACAGCAGCAGCAGCATCTTAATGATCATCATCATCATCAGCAGCATCATCATCATCATCAGCATCAGCATCAGCATCAGCATCATCATCGTCATCATCATTACCATCATCATCAGCATCAGCATCTGCATCATCATCATCATCAGCATCCACATCGTCACCATCATCATCAGCAGCATCATCATCAACATAAATAGCATCATTATCATCCACATCAGCAGCATCAGCATCAGCATCAGCATCATGATAAACAACAACATCATCATCATCATCATCATCATAATCATCATCATCACAGTCATAAGCATCATCATCATCATCAGCATCAGCATCAGCATCATCATTGACAGCATCCCCATCATCACCATCACCATCACCATCACCATCACCATCACCATCACCATCACCATCACCATCACCATCATCAGCACCATCAGCATCAGCATCATCACTAGCTGCACCATCATGATCAGCATCATCAGCATCAGCATCCCCATCATCATCAAAATCAGCATCATCATCACCACCATCATCATCATCGTCATCGTTAGCATCATCATCGTCATCAGCACCATCTCCACCATCATCAGCAGCGTCATCGTCATCATCAGCATCATCGTCAGCAGCATCCTTATCAGCATCAGCATCGTAACCATCAGCCTCACCATCATCACCATCAACCTCAGCATCATCAGCAGCATTAGCATCTGCATTGTCATCATCATCATCATCATCATCATCAGCATCATCATCATCAGCAGCAACATCATCATCATCATCATCATCATCACCATCATCATCAGAAGCATCATCATCCCAGTGGGTGGGGCGCGCCGGGGTTCTGCCCGGCGACGATCCAGGTCCAGCCCGCGCCGTCGTCCTGCGGGGGGCGGGCGGCTGGCGCCCGCCACTCTGCCCTGTGCCGACGTGGAGCCTCACCCACGTCCTTCCTCTTCCTCGCGTCGCCCCCCTCACCCCTCCTGCACCCCCATCCTCCTCCTCCTCCTCCTCCTCCTTCTCCTCCTCCTCCTCTTCCTCCTCCTCCACCTCCTCCTCCCCCTCCTCCTCCAATTCCGCCTCCTCCTCCTCCTCCTCCTTCTCCTCCTCCCCCTCCCCTCTCCCTTCCCCCTGACCCTCCTCCCCCTCCGCCTCCAGTTGCCTCAACTGGACCTACTCTGGCAATTTTCGCCCCTGGCTCTCCTCCTCCTCCTCCTCCTCCTCCTCCTCCTCCTCCTCCTCCTCCTCCAAACAAGGAAAAGGGGGGTGGTGGATGACAGAGCAGTGCAGAAGGAGACGAGGGACATCAGGGGTCGACTTCAATCTCCCAGGAACGGCTCACCTCGCTATTGAGCTGAGTCTCAGCACCGCTATCAGTCCAAACGGCGCTCTGAGCGCAAGAATCAGCGACGGCAGAAGAGCTGCAGCGCTGGCCAGTATTGGCCCTGTTCGAAAGACCGATCTCGCAAGCAATCAAATCGCACATCCCTTTCATGCTGAGCTGACCCTCATGGAGAGAAGAGAGACGACAAGAGAGCAGCCTGGAAGAGCCCCCCCAAACCTGCGTTCCCGTCCTCCCCATCACCTGCTGCACTTCATGCAAGGCGGCAATCGGTGGTCTGACCCTCAAGGGGTACTCGAGCACCGCTGGAAACTGCTTCGTCCAACCGACGTGTAGCATCGCAACGGCACATCGCACAGCTCGGTCGTCGGCAACAACATGCTCTCTTTCTTTGGGCCCCAGGTCCTTTCGCCCCCAGGGCTCACCCTCAGTCCTGAAGGACCGGGAGGGGGGTTTGAGCTCTCGTCTCGTAGCGGTTCTAGGAAGGGCCCAGGTCAAGAAGGAGACCTCGACCCAGGACCCGACGACGTGGCCCGCTCGGGCCAGGGGGAACCAAACATCCTCTAGATGCTTCGGCTCGATGTCCAAGCATGCGATGCCTGGAGCAGCTGCGGCTATGGCCTGAAACAAGCTGCGCCTGAGATCAGGTCCACCCTGAAAGAGAAAGTATCGCGCCTGAGCGTAAACCTGAAAGGGCAGGTCCACTGGGGCGTCTTCTGAGTCCGCCCTCTGGGACTGAACGTCCCTGGCCGGTATAGTGGGCCACGCAATGGGTATCGCAGGCTGCACCTGTTGGGGCAACTCTATATGTGGGCCTAGGATACGACAATCTGGATGCTCGGCAAAGTTGTCTGGTAAACCCTTTTTTCGATGTTCAGCTTGCTGGGCCAAACCGAGGTCTCTCCATTCCTGGATCTCCTCCTTAAAGGCACGCCTGGAGAGGCTGCGCCACGTGTTCCTGCACTTGGCAACCCGCTTCACATGAGCTAACAAACGATTGGGGGCATGGAACTCGCGAAGACAAATGGGACACCCCGTCGCATAGACATACCCCTCAGGGCGATCACCCAACTTGTGTTGGCAGCTAATATGCATGGCAAGGCCCTGGGGGGGAGGGGGTGTGGAATACCACACTGGTAGCACAAGTATCTCACTTCGTCCTCACCGTCACCCCCAGTCCTCACTGTGGGTCTGCTCAAGCTCGGTCCCCCTTGTCGGCTTGATGGAGAATATGTTCAAAATTGTGCTGCTCGTGTTGGTCCATCTGATGGGCCAGAGCTCGCATGGCAGCCCCTTTTTAAGAATGGTTCTGAAGCGTTTGGGAGCGACTTTGACCATTTCGATCCAGAGCTCAAGAGTGCCCGATTGTGGTATCTCCCGCTTCTGACAGTAGGACGTGAGCCAGGTGACGACATCTTCCAGCAGTAGTGGCCAGCCTGCGCGATTGGCGCGCAAAAAAACCAAGTGCTAGCCGCAAGCCTACAGGCGCCTTGTGGACGACACGGACCAGGTATCGAAGCCTGGCGACTGATAGCACCGCTCTCATGTCCAACCTGCGCGCACGGTACAGAATCTCATTGTGGGAGATGTGGCTTCCTGAGAAATTGGCGATATGTTGCCCCAGGGCCGCTCTGTAAACACCGGTTTGGGCATTCTACAACTTCTTAAAAGCTCGCGAAGATACCTCGTTCCAAGTACACATGTTGTACAACATGGACGACAAAGCAAATGCTTCGCTGTGCCGAATCTTATTGACAAGTGGGATAGCTGCACGTTTGGCCAGGGCCCGTTGAATGGGCCTGCACTCGGAACGAACCCGAGCGGTCCGATGATTGACCTCTTGGGCCATTGAGCCAGTGTCGGCGACCACGGTGCCCAAGCACTTGATGGTGCGGCGGATGGCGACAGCCTGGCCCGAGGGAAGAGCCACTTGGGCTCCGCGCTTCCACACCTGCTTCTCGATGGTTTTCATACCTGCACCTGCAGGTCGCATCAGAAGAAATGTCTTCGTCAAGTCGAGGCGGAGGCCGGCCTCAAACACCGCGCGCTCAACTAAAACAGCAGCAGCAATTGCACATTGCTCAAGGAGCGCAGGGGTGGGAGAGGAGCCGGCAGCGGTAAGATCATCAACGAAAGCACCGCCGTCTTGCGGGGTGCCGTGGTCAGACTCTCTAGCAAAAAACCTCGGGATGTCGAAGGGCGGAGACCAGCCCAGCTCCTGGGCCGTGATTTCTTCCGGAATCCGAGCCAACATCGGGCTGAAACCGAAGTTGAAAACGTCCGTCGCGGGAACGGCCCCTGGTTTACATCCTAACATCAGCCTGGCGAACCCCGAAGCCCCGCGCACCTGCCAAAATCCGTGAGTCTGAGACTCCGCGAACATTTCAAACAAGTGCTTATCGTCGACCAAATTGTCCACAACAGGGGTGGTAGCTAGGTGCCGAACGGCGTATTCCAACGCAGGATGGACAGGCAAAGTGGACATGGCACGGGCGGAGTCATCCTGTTCGACTGGCATGCTCACAATGGCTTGCCAGATGATGGTATAAAACGCGGCTTTCAAGTCGATGCTTAAGACAAAACAAGAGGCTTTGTTGGTATGCTGAGAAGCCAGTCGGGACGTCACGAAGTGCGTCACAAAGTCGGTCGAGCGACCTTGGACTCCTCCACATTGGCAGTCCTGGAGACTTGCCGCAAATATTGTAATTAGCAAACCTCGAACAAAGCGATGGTGCAACTTGCACGTGGTGTTGCCAAATAAGATGGATCTCCTCCTAGCGGCGATATACGCTTGGGCTCCGCCTTTACTTATATCTACGACCTCCCCCTGCTTGAACAAGGCAGGTTCTCGCCCCCCAAGGGGAACCGTAGTGAGGATGGGGTGTAGGATTCTGGCGGCGGCCTCAGGGGCCGCTTTCAGTACCGAGCATGGAACACCGCCTGGGCCAGGAGCCGACCCCCCGGGGATGCCAGAAATGAGCTTATTGAGCTCGGTGGGGGGGATAACGTTCTCAACCGAACGTTCAACTTGAGCATCTAAAGTCTCCCCCGCGCTGCAAAAGTCCCCAATCTGATAGTCGTCCACGCTCAGAGCAAACTCAACCTCAGCGAAGTGTCGCTGTAGGTCGTCCGCGGCCTCCTGAGGAGACTCCAGAACTTTGCCTGAGGGGCCCTTCCTGAGGGGAAAGAGGGCCGCTTTCTCTGGTTGTTACCCCCGAAACTCAAAAGGGTGCGAGCCTTCTGCCATTCTTCTCTGGTCATGGATCCGTCTATGGCCATTTTGACGTCTGCACCCTGGCTGTCAAGAAAGGCTGCATAATCTGCATTGACCCTGGTACGCAAAACGTTCTCCGTACAACTGCAGAAGCGAGCGATTGCCAGATGAAACTCCTCTGGCGGGATGCGCCGCCAAGTGAAGTCCTGCGCGGCAGTGTGAAGAAGGTTCCAGTGCTGGGCTAGGGCCTCGGCGCCCTGGAGGCTTTCACCCCTGGTGAGAAGTCCCTGGATCTCAGCCCCATCGGGGCCCGTCCTGAGCCGCTGGGCAAAGCTGAACATTTTTCCCACGGAGCTTTCAATCCCCGAGTGCCTGGAAAGGTAAAGAAGAGCTGTAAGCCTGCGCCGAAGCCTAACCAGCACCATCGTCGTATCCGCGATGCAAGGCCGGCGTGTCCTGACCTTGTCGCGTGCAAAACATCTGGCAGCCTGCTCACTCAGAAAAGTGCAGGCGTTGTGAACTTGCTGGTTCACGTTGTGAGTCCAAGGCTCCAGCTGGTAGCCTTCACACGCAAAGCGAAACTCACGCTGGCACTGTGCGTCTTTGAGCTCGCGTTGGTCGAGTAGAGGGGTGGCCCTTTTTTGACCACGACTTCCTGGGACCATTCCAGAACACACAAGACAGGAAACTGATCCTCGTGCTTGCGAAGCACTTCTACCCCATGCTTCACCACCGTGTCACGAACAAAACCAAGCTTATCCAAGGGAACTATCACATAGTCAATGCGAGTCGGCTCTCCACTCTTGGTCTTAAATGTGCTGCCGTCGCCGCTGGCGACGAAGGTGTTGGCCGCAGCGAGCCTGTGGTCCAACAAGTATTGGCGCATGAGCCCCCCGCTGCTGCGTTCGTCTTCTACAAGACCTGCGGCGCCCACGCACTGGGACTCGACTGAGCCCACGGATGCTCCACAGTCCATGAGAACGATCCCTGGCGGCCATTTGGCCGCGAGTTCACCAAGGCCCTTCCAAAATTTGGCTCTCGCCTGAAGGGCATGCCCCCTATGAGGGGCGCGGGCCACCAGGATGCGGCAATCAAGCCCTGGGGCATCGCACTTGACCATGAGGGCCCTGGGATCGGCATGGAGGACGGAGAAATGCTGCTTGCGAAACAACAACGGCTTACCCTTGGCCTTCCCGTAAGGCATCATAAGATCCACCCGCAACTCCGCCCCCAGGTTGTGGGCCAAGTGGCCCGAAGAGAAGCGCAGATGCATCTCCCCCGCTGCACCTCGCAAGTTCTGCTCATTGCGCCCTTCCTGGACCCCCGC